AACCCCCATCATCCCCAACTCCACCGACAACACACCACCCCTCCAAGCCCCCGTCACCGCCGCCTTCGACTACATGCGCATCCGCGTCGGTGACATCCCCATCGCCCAGGCCTTCGCCCCCGCCATCGAGAAACTCTTCGATATCCTCGAGCGTGCCTCGGCAGTCGAAGCAAACAAGCAGAAGAAAATCCGCGAAGCGGCCGAGACCCTGGCGCGAGAGCAGAAAAAGCAAAAGAAGAAGAAGGGGGCCCCTGAGCCTGCGGCCACTCCCGCTCCCGGCGAGGCAGTGGAGATCGACGAGGGCCCGTCCGTGTGGAGCGCCAGCGAAAGCGAGAGTGGATGGGGCACGAGCGACGACGAGCGGATGGATGGTTTTGGGCGTGTGAAGGCGCGGGATCAGAGTGGGAAACGCAGTCGCAGTGGGAGTCAGAGCGCGCGGCGCTCGAGCCCGAGTATTCGGACGAAGAGCGGTGCTGCTATTTAGAGTATTCCAGGTTGGGAAAATTGCAAGAGAACATATATCGACAGACTCGTGTCCGTCGCTTCGTTTCGTGCCATGTGTGCATGCATGTACTTATATAAGACTCTCATCAGTGGTATTGGCCAGCCAAGCGACAATATTACAGAACTTGCTATTCATGTACATACAACTCATCCCAAGTATCTCAATCTACTAGATCACAAGAATTCATTACACTCTAAACTAACCCCCATGATTATCTCTAGAACCCGGCAACAGCCTTCTCCGCGTCGTCCTTACCGTACAGCCCCTCCCCAAGATTCTGTACACACTCGTCCCTCCAGCTCTTGGGCGTGAACTTATCCACGATCTCCTTGAACGCATCGAGCGTGCAGAACGTCTCGTCGCCGGGGAGATGCTTCTCCGCTTTCGCCGCGCAGCCGGGAATCCGAACGGGGCGGTCATTGTATCTAATACGCACGTAGTGGTTCTGCAGCGCCTGCCGTTTTGCATTTGGGAGCGACGAAAGCGGGGCGCGGTCTGTGTCGGACGATGGCGAGACGCCATCACCAGTGAAGTACGAGAGGAGGCCCTTTTGCTTGCCGGACGAGGAAGGTGACGAGGCGGGGCTGTTCTCCGCGCGGGAGAAGAGTTCAATGGCGATGGAAGAGGTGAAAGGCGGCCATTTGGCGTCGAAGGCGCCCACGCTGCCCAGGATAGCGGCGAGGGTGGTATCGTGGCACCCGCTCATGGCGAACTTGATCGCCTTGCCGTTCTCCGCGGACGAGCCGGAGGCGGAGCGCTCGCTGCGCCAGCCGCCGTTGGCGGCGGCGTTGACCATGCGGTCGACCACGTCGCCCATCAGGGCGCCGATCCCGAGTTTCCGGTATTCCCTGCTCTCCGCGTATCCGGCGAACCACTCGTCAACGGCGATGGTGTTGGTGTACTCGCGGGCTTGCTTGTCGTAGAACTCTGCGGGTAGTCTCGTGGCGCGGCCGTGGGCGTCGGTCGCGTTGATCGTGTCTTGGATACCGGAGAGGCGGGGGTGGGAGTCGACGGCGATTCGGGGAGAGGCGTCGGGCATCCACTTAGACCAGAGGCCGTTGAGGTAGTTCATCTGTTCGGATTCGTTCCCTGTAGCGTTATCATTAGGCCCGAATTTCACCTCTTTGATATTGAGAGCAGAAGCGTACATCTCTTTGCGGCACGGTCCGCGAATAGCCGGGCCAATTGCCTGAATCGCCGGCAGTTACCCTCATTGGGGAAGAGTGTCTCATCCGAGACGGAGCGGGCGACAATCACCGGCGGAGGGAAGTCTTGCGTACGCGCACTGGCCGGGTACATGCCCCAGAAGGCTTGTTGGAGAGACTCGAGAGCTCGAGGGATAGGCGTCGCGCGAAGATACATATCTTCTGCATCGGATTTGATCTTTGGCATGAAACCGAGCTGATCGACATATAGATGTCTCAGACGCTGACCCAGCGCAAATGTGGTCTCCCGCCCTCTGTCTGTCAATTCACCATGTTGGCTGTGAAAGTCGCGAAGCGTAGATCCAGTCAGCTACCAAGTCCTCTCTGCTACCAATTCGTCCTCGGAAGTCAGGGAACCTGCCAGATACCCTCTATATCACCCGCCGCACCCACGGCAACAACCGACTCGTCTCTCTCACCAAAGGCTTCCATTTTCCTCCGCCATTGGAAGCCATTCCACGATGAGAGGTCTTTCTCGCTGGCTGCCATCTGGATCATCCGACGCGCGACATTGCAATACGGCCAATCTTTGTGTGGTAATCGAGTTAGGAACGAGCAGTAAGGCTTAGTAAATTCGGTGCAGGGTTTCTTACACGGTGCGAGGCCTGCCTTGAAGATGTCAGCCCGAGTCTCACGCATCAATAAGATCAGAAATGGACATGTTACACACATTCTGGAATCGCGAGGAAACCGGTGTCCGTTCACCTTGAATAACCGTTCTTAGATCCAATTGCTTGGAGACAGTCCGACAGCAGGAAATATCGTACCGTGACGAAGGAACTAATTCTCACTCAGTACACTTAATTGACTCGGCCCGAGAAAACACGGGTTTTCCCTCGTCACATACCACCTGGACCAATTGAAGCTGAAGCTCCTTTGGATAGAGCTGCTCAAGCTCTTCCTTGGAGTAAGGCTCGCGGGGCACAAGAGTCGTCATTGGTAACCCCTCACGTAGAACTGAAGAAGTAAAATGGTTCTTGTGATAATGAAAGAAGCACCTGCATAAAAGGAGCCCAGAAGAATAACAATTGAGTTCAAAATTAGTGCAGCACCTCCGAACTGAAAGAAAGTATCTTGCGGTGACCCGGATGGGCGTTTCATGACGCCAATGGGCGGTGCAAGGGAAAGGAGCCAATCAGTGGATTGCCGAGGATCACCTGTCGCTCTCATTGGGATCGACTCTCTTTGTACCCATTAAATCTCTACAGTTCCTGAATTCTCTCGGGATAATAAAGAGGAGTATGGTCCGTACTTCGAGATAGTCTTTCACTACGGACGGGCTTCATTGAGATTTAGATCTTATTAACTGAGTAGGTTGACTATTTACGATGACATACGTGAGACGCGCTGGGCTTGTCGCAGCCAAAAAAAAAAGTATGTTAGCACTAAGCAGCATCAGAGATGATGCTTGATTTTCAATGTCTATAGCTCCGATTGCGTGTTCGCTTCGTCAAATAATACTACCTCTTCTTCGCCTGTTTCGCTTCAGCCTCCTCCTTCATATCTCTGAGACGGCCTCCCAATATTCGAATCAGCACATTTCTTGGGATTAGGTGGAAGCTCAGACCCTGGAGGGAGTGCGGCCAATACGCCCAGACAACCGATCCGTCGCACCCGACACGATTCAAGGCCGCTCCGGCCAGAGTGCGAGAAGTTGGGGTGAATAGGTTCACCGCAACATCATTCCCTTGACTCTTAGTATTTCCCACTCGTAACCCGAGAACTTCCACGTCTTTTCCGTCGAGCGTCACTTCGGCTTGCAGCGACCGAGTAAAGGATTCCACGAATCCCTTGGTGCCACTGTATACTGTGATGGTCGGCATCCCATAGGCTGCTGCGGAAGAGACGGTGAGAATGAGACTCGGGCCATTCTTTTCGAGTATCGGCATCAGGACGCGCGTGATCTGCACCGCAAAAGTAGCATTAAGGCTGATGGTTGCCTGCGCGTCTTCCTGTGTGAGCTCGGCCAGTCGCTTGAACGGCTTCATCTCCCCTCCAGCATTGTTGACCAGAACCGTGAGACGAGCGTCGCCGATCTCTTGTGCAATCCGACTGAGATCTTCAGTGCTTTTAACTGCGTCAAAGACGATGGTCCGAACCTTCGCGTTGGGGAACTCCGCCAGCAGCTCATCCTTCTTTCGTAGTAATTTGTCGTGGTTTCGACCGTGCAGGAAGACATTGAACCCGCGCTTGCAGAGTTCCTGGGCAAACCCGAAACCTATTCCATCGCTGGAGCCGGTCACAAGAGCCCAAGCATCTTTCCCAGGGGGGTTGTAGCGTGAAAGACTGGATGGTCGAAGGTAGCAATAAAAATGACTGGCGACTTGTAGGGCAAGATAACAAGTTGTTGCAGCACCAATATAACTGAGCGAGGTTTTCAATTCCTCTGGTAATTGCAGCATTGTATAGAGGATCAGGCGACGAGTGGCTCTTGGATGGGATCACGCGTGTAGGCGCAAAGGGATTCAGTTTCACCTGGAATTGTGCATGAGAGTTATATATACCCAATAGCGATTTCCAGTCCTGTCAGTTATTACTGGTCAGTAAGAATGTAGTCGTTGAGATGAGAGGTATGTGAAAACCATAGTCATTGGACTATACCTACATCTCCTAGAGAGAAATAATCGATCGGTCTTTGACGGCGCGATCGTGGATGAGATCATCCATCACGGGATCGTGGCCGTGTCGAACAACCTCCCTCCATCGTGATGGGCAACTAGTATTTTGGTCAGGATAGAGTATGTCCAAGGGAGAATCCTCTCATAATACACCAAGCACGGTGGACGTGGAAGTTGGAGAATAACAGCTATATCTCTGGATAGCTCTCGAGAGGACCCAGAGCGAGGCAAGTTGACACTCATTTGACAGCCAACGCTCTCCAGCGCCAAGCCAACTCTCCCCAGCTTATCTCCAAACCACACTGCATCTTCACCTTTATCAGCACTTGACCTACTCGCTGCCATTGATATTCAAGGTATCGATTGCACAACAGTCTGGAACGTGTCATTCTACCGTCTAAAATATCATATTGAGCTAGACGGTGACGCAGGAACTTCCCCATTGTGTTCTGGTTCTCTCCTGTTCGAGCGCCCGGATAGTATACACCCTCATGTGGATGCAGTGCATTGGCTATTACAACGCCCATTTTCTGGTCAGGTTTACAGCGCGCCTTGCCATGAGGCTGAAGATCTGATCCTTTTTCGACACTTACTCATTGGCTTTGTCCTGCCAGTGTGGCACCTTGCACCTACAGATAACCTTCTTTTCAGAGTCTATCTCAGATCCTGGTTTACACGGCGGTAGCGTGACATTGCGGACCTTGTCTCGTACCATCACTACATCAGTTGTCGTGGCTTTGTCCCAGAGACACTAGAAACCTCGGCCTTTTCTTCTATCTCAACCAGCCTCCTTCATTGGTTGAGTACAGCTGCCGGTAAGCATCCTCTCTGGAAGAGCGATCGCTCAAGTAGCTCATTGGATTATAGACTTGTCTTCTTTATTGCCTTCGGCTTTTTGAAGCCTCTTCACTTGGCATGGATGTAAGAAAGCCTGCTCCCTGGTCAATCTCCTCATCCGAATCATGCTGGGCATCGCAGGAAATGCCACGTCGTTGACGCTCCTTTGTTGTGTCCGAAGCTTGTCTCTCCGATGAAATTGAAATCCTCGCAAATATCGAGGCTAATGCTGAGCTGACCACTGTTGTCCCACAGATTGCAAACCAGCAGTTGGGGCCGCCGGCACAAGGCAAGCCGGGTCATCTGGCCACGAATAAACCTCGAGATGCTAAACCGCGCTTACTTCTGATGGGACTTCGCCGGTGAGCTATCTGCGTCTGAAGGATGCTTAGACATGTTGCTGACTCTACTCAGGAGCGGCAAGTCATCCATCGCCAGCGTTGTCTTCCACAAAATGCCGCCAAATGAAACATTGTTTCTAGAGTCGACGACCCGTATCCAGAAGGATTCGATTCAGTAAGTGCGCCCCTGCACCGCCGTGTCTTGTTCTTACACGATATTCAGCTCTTTCATGGACTTCCAAGTCTGGGATTTCCCTGGTCAGCTAGAGTACCTCGAGCCTTCATTCGACCTCGAAGACATTTTCGGCAGTCTAGGCGCGCTCGTATGGGTGATTGATGCCCAGGATGATTATCTAGACTCCGTTGCTCGGTTGAACCGAACCATTCTGACCGTTCAGCAATACTACCCGAACATCAACATCGAAGTCTTCATCCACAAGGTTGACGGGCTTTCAGACGAATATCGCACAGATACCTTCCAAGACATAGTGCAGCGCATCTCGGATGAATTAAGTGATGCCGGTTACGAAAATGCTCCGGTGCACTACTATCTGACATCAATCTACGACTACTCGGTTTTCGAGGCTTTCAGCAAGGTGATACAGAAGCTGATTCCAAATCTTTCCACCTTGGAGAATCTGATCAACACACTTGCGAATAATTGTGGTTTCGAGAAGACATATCTCTTCGACGTCCTGAGCAAAATCTACATTGCCTCTGACACTCGTCCCGTCGACATGTCATGTTATGAAATGTGCTCGGATTATATAGACGTGATTGTTGACGTCTCTGAGTTGTACTCGTGGGACCACCCAGACCGCAAGCCCAAGGGAGATCAAATACAAGAGGCAGAAAGCCATGTTGTATTGCACGATGAGACCATGATACATTTGATGGAAATGAACAAGTCAGCTGCCTCCGACACATCTTATTGGTGAAATCTGTACTGACTGCTTCAAGGTACCTATGTCTTGTCTCTGTGATTCGTAATCCTGAAGCAAAAGAGAAGAAGGGGCTTATCGACATGAATTGCCGCACGTTCCAAGACGCACTTAATGATGTGTTCTCGCGGAGCTGGGAGCAAGACCAGGATACGGATCAGGCAGACGAAGAGCAGACACAGCCTCAACTGGTCGAGCAAGGGTCAAGAAGCTGAGCACATGGAAAGACACTCGGAACTTGACGATTACCTGAGAATCTTGGAAGAAACACCCTGTACTGGCCTAAGTCTTCAAAGCCAGAGTTGATTGGGCTATTGTCCTATGGTAGTTTTCTCTCTGTCGATATCACTACTGCTCATGATATCTTGATACGTACATTATCTCCGAATTCAAAATTTCGATTTGATCGAGCCGATAGACCGTATCTACAAGCTATTAGGAATAGCAGCCAAGTGGGCATCAGGCACCAAGGCATCAACCACCACAGACCCACTTACCGAAATTTTCCCTTTTCCTGAGCTTTAAAAAGTTTCATTTCTCTCTTTTCCTCTTCTTCTCCCTCACTCACCAACAAAATTGGTATTGCAACTGCAAGAGCTATAACTTCAAGCATAATGTTGGCTTGATCTACTGACATTCCAGATCCAGCGAATGTATGACTTCAAACACTCTCAGCACACTATTCAACTCACCATGATGGGTAAGTTGCATCTACCTTTTTATTTCCTCCCGCAACAGAGAATTCTTCTCGCTTCTCTTAAATGATGAAAACCTTTTCCACATTCGCAGTTTCCACGCTAGCCGTCGCTAGAACCCATCTTAGACGTGCTCTGTGCGCAATTTCTTCCTTGGATGTCTGACTTTTTTGACTACTTTTCTTCTGCTGCTTGCAAGATTGAGTGTGAGCTTTTGCTGATTGATATTATTAGTTTTCTAGGTTCCAGTTGTCAACGGCGTCCAGCATTTGGGATTCCTTCATGAAAGGTGATAGACAAGATCAATTGTGGGGCTGCGTCGTAGCAGTTTCTGGATATTCAGACATTCTCATGAGCAATAGCAAGTGGCTAGACACGCATATTATTCGCAGGAGCTATAGATATTCATGGTATACACACGTCAATGATTGTACAACTTTTCTTGCTATTGGGATGCTAGTTTTGTAAGGTGCTGTGTCTGCTCGATGAGATGACAGCTAGATTGACGCAGTATGGTGAAGCGATAATTTGGAGGGCTGCTGTCTGTTCTTGTAGGTAATGTAGCTTAATCTTGAGCCTGCAGCTCTGTCAATCAATTCGAATAATATAACAGTTTCACATCGCGCTCCATAATGTCACACCATGGTTTAGACATAACTGGCGGGGAAATGGTGTCGATGCTATCTGTCCTCGGTCTTCGGGACCGATCTTACATACAAGGTACACCAGCACAGAACAACTCCAAATGCCATCCAGCATAGTCTAAACGCAATCCACACCATGTCAGAACTCCGCCAAAGACAAGTTCCCCAGCAATCTTCCTCGACAACCGACAAGACCAAAAAGTCGGCACCGCCGCGCCGAAGCAGCCATGACGGGGGGATCAGCGTCAGCGACATCATCCGCGTGCTGCTCACGCTGGTCGTCGCCTCCTGCGGACTCTCCTACTACATGACCGGCGAGACTGTTCTCTGGGGATACAGGCCGTGGTTCACAAGATGGCCAGTGTTGGTCCAGTACATTGTAAGCCCCAGCCCAGCCCAGCCCCGTCTTTCGCGAAGGCTCATTCGACAATGATGGTATTAACAATGCAGCAGAAAGGACCTGTCTACCTAACACCGGACCAACTCGCCCTCTACAACGGCACCGACCCCTCCCTACCCATCTACGTCGCCGTCAACGGCTCCATCTTCGACGTCTCCGCCAACCCGCTCGTCTACGGCCCCGGTGGCGGCTACAACTTCTTCGCGGGCCGGGATGCAACCCGTGCGTTTGTGACGGGCTGCTTCCAGGAAGACCTCACGCATGACCTTACGGGTGTGGAGGAGATGTTCATCCCCGTCGAGGACGAGGAAGAAGAGAAGAAGCTGAGCAGTGGGGAGAGGAAGATCCGGCGGGAGCAGGACAGGAGGTTGGCGCTGGGCAAGGTGCGGAAGCAGGTGGATCACTGGGCGAATTTCTTCCGCAACCACAAGAAGTACTTTGAGGTGGGGAAGGTGGTGGGATTGGAGGATTTGCCCAAGGAGAAGAGGGAGCTTTGCAAGGCGGCGAGGCAGCAGCGGCCAAAGAAGAGGGATGTGGTGGGTTGATATTGGGCTTTGCGATTCTGCTCTGGCGTGTACAAATGGTTACGATCAGGCTATATCTACGGATCGGTTTGAAGAACAAGTTGGAACAGATTTTGTGAGATCGATTCAGTCAAATTTACTTGACATATGCAGTAGCGCGTGCTTCCACAGAATACATCATTCGCCCAGCCAGACTTTCCGAATTTTATAGTGATATCATTCGTAGCATAAAAAAAGGACCGCGAGAAATGTTCGTAGGGAAATCGTTTACTCGGCGGTAACGGCGCGGGCTGTAAGCATTCTAGTTAGCATATGCCATCCAACAACCCTTCTTAAACGATCACTCTTATTGAGTCACAGGAAGTGCGGGCCGAACATACTGTAGATGGTCATCTTGGAGTG